ACAGAAATTGTATTTAAAATGCAAAATAACCATGTTCATTTTTGATATGAGAACTGGAAACCACTTGTTAAATTAAAATGAGTTACATGTTGGTTATTAAAAAAAGCAGTATTCAGTATTTAGTAAGCAGTATTTGTTGATCACTATATATAGATTAAAAGGCCAATAAATAAAACAAAAATACTACAATGCGTAAACAAAAATAAACAAACAAATAACTAAATAGCACTATTTGTACATTATTCTTTTTTTTTTACCTTCTACATATGCCAAAATGTGGAATATACTGTACATAGAGCATATTTCATTCATAAATGTGTCCCACAATGCAATGCTCTTGACATGGCCCTTAATTTCTAGTTGTACAATAAGTATTTTTTTATTAAAATATTTAAATTATTCAGAGTACTGTACTGCACATTATTCAGCATTTAGTATTTAAGCAGTATTTGTTCATGTTCATATAATAGTATTATATTCTGAATATGACTAAATATAGGTTAAAAGGCCAATATATAAAGCTAAAGTGCTAGAACTAAAGAACTAGTATATAGTATGGTTGTGCTTGACATGGCCCTTCATTTCTAATGTGCTATTTTTAAAATCAAGTTTGTTTGTTTTTTACTTATTTTTGACTTGTTTTATTTGATTGGGTAGGTTGCCAAGATACAAGACATTTTTACACAAAATTGGATTAATGCAAAATGCAAAATATGCATATTTATATCTGAATTAAATTGAGTTACTTGTTGGTTATGTGTCAATAGGTTTATCGTTGCATAATATTTTTTTTTTCACTCAGTATTTCTAGAAAAAATATGCAATATACTGCATAGTATTCGGCATTTAGTAAGCAGTATTTGTTTGCATTGACTGTGTCATGCGCTAACTGCTTTCATCCATTTATCTGTTTTCACAAGAGATCACTTGCACAAATGTTGGAACACCCTGAATTTGGCTTATTCATAACTGAAGCGTCATGTCTTGCTTTTTGCTTTTACCGTTCTAATTACGCCACTAGTTCCAGAGTGTCTTTCGGGTGTAGACGAGCTTCATCAGAAAGTACAGATGCTTTATTTATAATAGGAATTAATAATTTGGGAACATGTGGCGTGAAGACACTTTCTAACTTTCCTGAACGTTTCCCAGGTTGCTATGAGGAAAATCCAACACATTGCCAGAACGCCGTGCCTGGTGTGTGCAGCTGTGCAATTTCACCCTTTGATATTGTATTATAATTGGTGTCTTTAAAAAAACAATACACCTGCTGTAAATTAGGATAGCCCGCAAAGTTATTCCGTGATTGCATTATAATATCCTTCTATAACATGACAGCACTCAAGTGCAACTACTACAGATTTTATGTATTATGAATACATTCTAAAGCATTACAATCCCATTTATTATTCATTATACAGATATATAAAGCTCTGCTCAAGTCCTACACAGTTAAATCGACTGACTGTGTTTAATCAAACATATGCCACCCTTTGAATAAGACAGTATTCCCAACTACATCCCTTTAAGAACACTTCTTCCCTGTCCGTATTTTCCATTTCTGTCTGGTACATTAAGTCTCTGAAACAGAAGAGGCGTCCTGTCATCCAAGTGTGATAACAGAATGGTTAGCTTTCCTTTCGCTCTGCTCTCCATGTATAAATATGTATAATTCTGATAAGATTAATTGGATCGCCTAAGTACACAGAGAAGGAGAGAGAAAGAGGACGCAAACGAGAGCTCTTGTTCGGAAATGTGCTCCGGGCCCACCTCACATTCCCCTGCTAAAGTGCTTCATTTTTTTCTGGAACAAACTGCCTTCAATTAAAAAAGAAAATGGCTTACCCAAAGGTCCCGAGGAAAAGGAGCCGAGCAAATGGCTTGAACACACTCACGATAAATAGGCCTGTTAAAATATTAAGCATTCTAAAAAGTGTTCGATACAAAATGCTCACCTGTGTCTTAATAGGGAAACATATTTCTTTGAATTTCCACTGCTAAGAAGAATTATAATCGCTCACTGTGTGGGGGAATCTGATGAAAACATTTCCAAGTTGTATTTTTTATAGCAAAATCAAAAGAAAACAAACAAAAAATAAATAAATAAACAAGAATCTCCCTTTTTAGGAAGTAATGTTAAAACGGCCTTCTACAGAATTAAATTTTCATCAAAAGAGCTCATTAAAACCTCATGCAAATCCGGTCCAATGATGATCAGAGAAACCAATTGGTCTAATGGAACTATCAGTTAAAGGGGTCATATGATGCGATTTCAAGTTTTCCTTTCTCTTTGAAGTGTTACAAGCTCTTGGTGCATAAAGAAGATCTGTAAAGTTGCAAAGACTAAAGTCTCAAATCCAAAGAGATATTCTTTATAAAAGTTCAGAGTCAGCCGCGCCTACCTAAAATGGCTCGTTCTAACACGCCCCCACATATCTACGTCACTATGTGGAAATATTAGCATAATGCCGCCCAAATGTCCACGCAAAAAAAGAAGGCGTGGTTTCAGGAACGAAGTAGTGTTTATGCAGCCATGTCAGGGAGACACTGTGTTTTCAAAAAGTGGATGCAATTAGGAATCACTGGTTAAGATTTATTTACAACAGAACAGCACAACCCAGATGTTTGAATTTGTGCAACGCATTTTATGGACGACAGTTTTTTTAACCTAGAAGAGTACAAGGCTGGCTGTGCACAAAGGCTATGTGTACTGCATCATCACTGTGTCTGTCACGCGACTCTGTTGCCCTTTCGGGCTTGAACTGATGGTAAAACTAACGACATTATTAACTGTCTTTACTTTGAAAGCTGAAGCTCACGATTATGGTAAGGGCCGTTACATTTCCGATGCATGCTTGTGGTGTTCGGCCAATCACAATGCACTGGTTCAGCTGGCCAATCAGAGCAGACTGCGCTTGTCAAAGGAGGGGGCTTTGTAGAAAACGAAGTGTTTGAGAGAGGCGGGGCATAGAGGACCTACAATAATGTACAGTTTTTGAAAAATAATGTGTTTTTTGAACATTAAAGCATGTCAACATTCTGTTACACCAAATACACAAAATAACGATCTTTAAAATAGCATCATATGACCCCTTTAACTTGTGGCATACAAAATCTAACTAATCTAGCTGCACTCACTCTTCCATTCCAGACCTTCACCCATGTATATTGTTTTACATTTGGAAATTTAGTTAATTAAAAGTAATAACTTCTTTAGGTTTTTACTGGATTGTAAATGTGGCTCTTCACTAAGCCTATCAATGTTCAAATCAACAGTACAATTCCAGTCTCCAGCTAAAATAAAAAATTCAAGACTTTTCTTTAAATTATTTAAAAAATAAATCTGTTCTTTCAGTCCCAATATACAAGACAGATGTCCCTTATTTTTTGCTAACGCTTTTTTACATTTTCTAGTTTTAGTTGACTTGGAGACCTTTTTCAATGCAGTGACATGTTTCCTCAATCGATACCACTTTCGTCTAGCAAAACTGACCATCTTTTGCACAATTGTAATCGACCAAATACATTTTTCTGTGTCAGCAATATATTCATCAACCTTAACAGACTGTCCAAATGTTTCATTGAGAAAATGATTCATTTCCTCCAAAGAATACAGCTCTCTCAGTCTGTTTAACCTGTCAAATCCTTCTCCATCTGACTCGTCATTGCAAACACGCTGCATACACAGTGTAAGATTCTCCTCCATGCTTTATCTTAAACGATACATCCAAAGACTGTCGGAGAATCCAAGAACATAAACACTTGCCTCCTAAGAGAGATTACATGTTTTAAATGGGCATCAATGCTCCATATACATTGAGCCGTGGTCCTTGTACAAGAAATGCAGTTTGGATTCTGACTTCATGTCCCTGTTGACTTTGACTAAAAAGTGTCAAAAAGTCTCAAACTAACTACAAACCAATGATCACATGCATCTCTCCCACACATTTGTTCTGATGGTTTCTGAGGCTGGCCTCAGCCTACACGCCGTGGCATATGCTGGCAGGCCACTTCTGCCTTCCACATTTGTTTTGGCAAACGGCACCCAGGAAACATTCCCATGGCATCAGTCGTCACAGCTGAAAAATGAGCAGAACCAGCCAGTGCACATGACAGAACCAATAAACAGTCATCGAACCAATTCCCATTACATATAGTCCCAAGACCGATTGTTTCTGTGTCAAACCAAGAAGTGTGTAGAGAAGAATTTTCTACAAACGCAGAGCCGGCAATAAACCTCCAGTATAAATGGGAACGGACGGGCCACATAAAGGGCCTCAATGTGATATTAATCCTGCTACTGCTGTGGTCTGGAAGGCACTCCGTCAAACTAACGTGTATTACTCCATCTCTGGTACAGTTATGATAATAATGAGCTGTAGGGTCCTCACATCAGCTCTGAGCAATAGAGGCTCTAGTCATTGGTGTGTTAAAGTATTTTATTATTACTGGAATTATGAATTATTTTGGGGGAAATCCTTTCTGCACTCATGAGTGTGTAAATTGAAGTAGGTTGGTTTACTCCGAATGCTCTATGCTGTAAAATATCCCTGTGCTACTAACTTAAGAGGTTGATGTGTGTATGTATATATATATATATACAGTATATATATACGTATATATATATATATATATTTTTTTATATATATATATATATATATATAATACAAATGCAATATAATACAAAATTGCTATTATTTTTTTAATATTTAATTTTGCCTTTAAATGTAAATGCCAGAAAAAGAGCCGTCTTTGATATCAGTCAGTCTTTGAAATGAAGAGTCTTACAGTCTGCCTTAATAATAATAATAATAATAATAATTTTGTTTTACTCTTCTGTATGCCTTACCTTATTTGTCTTTGGTTAAAAAAAAAACTTTCTAAATCACTACTTTTCATCTACGTTTAAGCATTTGTTTTCCCTCAAGAGCCTTTTTTGTGCTAAAACAAATCCACCTCCTGATAGCCGTGTCATCTAAACAGTCTCTTTCTCTCTGTCTCAGGCCGCAGAATGGGTCTATGATCCTCTACAACAGGAAGAAGGTGAAGTACAGAAAAGATGGGTACTGCTGGAAGAAGAGGAAAGATGGGAAAACCACACGGGAGGATCACATGAAGCTCAAAGTGCAGGGAGTCGAGGTGAGATGCGGTTCGCTCTTAGTAACGTGATATGATCATGATCTCTCCACACCGGGAAGCCTCATAGATGCACAGACTGTCAAACCTGTTTTTTGGAGATTACATCTGGCTTTAGTGTCAGCAAATGGATTGGAAATACAATGGTTGTTTCGAACAGGTTTCCTGTACATTCCATTGAAGAGAAAACTGGTGTCTATTTTTCAGAAATCCTTTGTTGGTTTAAGTGTATTCGTCATGTTAACTTGTGTGAGTGAGGATGTGTTTGTGTGTGTATGTCCATTGCACATGACCCCCCCCTCGTAGCACTGGCCGCGGCGCATCCCTGTGCGGATGACTCTAATGTATCAGCTCAGGCGTGGCCCCTTTAAATGAAGAACCGTAATGAAGCATGTCTCCGGTCCCCGCGTTCCCGCTCACTGACTCTAATGAAGAGAAATGTCAGCACATTGTCGATTTAGCGGCGTGATAGAACGAATGCACGGATGAGTGCAGGCTGGCTCCTCTGACGCTCTACCTGTATCGTTCACCTGAGCCGTGTGCCCTGATCTAACTGAGCTTTATGAGGCCAGTTAGAGACGGAGACAACGTTTAACATAAAACATTGCTGGCGTATTTAGCCTTTACAGGGATGGATTATGCAAAGATTACAGTCATGTAATCATCATGTCATTCCAAACCCTTGTGATGTTTATTTCTTCTATGAAACACAAAATGAGATGTTCAACATAATGTCCAGCCTGTTCTTTTCTATCCTGCTAAAGCTAATGGCAACTGGGGCTGTCAAAGTCAAAAATGACAAAAAAATAAACCAGCATAAAAGTATCATAAATCTTGTTCAATTGATGTATTCTGAGTCTTTTAAAATTGTCTCAATTGATTATGATATTCAAGAACCAATGATGTTTGCCTTGCCAAGTTTGAATATGAGCAAATGAGATTAAATGTGGACCTTGTCCTCTCTAGGGTTGGGTACCGAACTCTGTACTTTTAAGGGTACCGACTGAATTGCGTCGGTACTACCGAGTACCGATTCACGTTAAATCAATCGGTACCAAATTGTGGTACCTGAGAACGCATCTGGGCACATACACTACAGCAAGAGAAAGAGAGACCCTGTGACATGAGGTCACCCCTGCAACTCGTTCAAACTACACACAGGGCAAGCCCAAATGTTCTGAAGTGTGGTTACATTTCTAGGACCATAATGGTTTCTGCGAAAACGCGGACGGGATCATGGAGTCCATTCATAAAAACGTAATTTACTCTATATTTACTCAATTTTGGAGGAATAAATCAAAAGTAGGTCTGCCACTTAATTCGAATCGTGATATAAACTAGTGTCTGTGGATATTAAAATGCAAAAAGACGGTTTAAATGTGAATCCTGCATGTTCTGCTTGCCTCTGTATGTATGAATGGCGGAAACGCGAAGTACGAAATACTGAAGCACGCGTGACGCTCGTGGTGATTTCCGGCCTCTGCGTCTCACTATATGACGGCATGAACACAAAAACTTAATCTCCAGAGCTGCTGTGAGAGTCACTTCGTGAGAATTTTACCGTTTCATTTGAGAAAACTAACATCATCATACTGTATACACACAGAAACGTCATGGCAACCTGTCAAAATAAAACTACGGTTTAACATGTAACAGAAATATATTACTCTTGTATTACTTTTGTACAGTATAATGTACATCTTTAAATATTCCATTTTCGGATTTAATTTTTATCAAATTTAAAGAAAACAATTAAATGATCAAAATAAATATTACAACCAGATTAATCACTTAATTGTAGAAAAAAAATTAGTAATTATTAGCCTATTATAAAATGTTTTAAAGGAATATTCACACAATTTTTCTTCCATGTATTAATGTCAACAGTAAACCTCAGTTTGTTTGCCAAAAAATATAAGGGTTTAATTTTCATTTGATTTAAAATAAATGTTTAATGCCTTCATTTGATTTTCAGAAAAATGAAAACAAGAATTTCTGGGAGGAAAAAAATTCAGGTACCGATACCGGTACCGTACCGGTTAAAATGTGAACGGTACCCAACCCTAGTCCTCTCACAAAAATATTGTTTGTCTTCAGAAGAGTCTCTATACAATGAACAAGTTATATGGACTACTTTTATGGTACTTTTTTTGTATATTTTGGAGCTTAAATTCCCTTTGTTGTATTGAAGAGTTGGTTCTTTCAATTAATCATTCAAAAGAATTAGCAAGGACTTCTTTTATGATACTTTATTGTCCGTTTTGGAGCTTGAATGCCCCTCGTCACTATATACGTACTATTTGTTGTCTTGAAAAGAACAGAACCTTTCTTAATTCAGTCATCAAGAGTCATTGATTCATTAATTGAACCAGCTCACAAGAGTCATTTGTTCGAATGCTTGCACAAACAAATTACTCTCATGATTAATAAATCATTCAAAAAGATTCAATGATTCACTAAAGGTTACAGCTCATATGAGTCCTCTTTTTCAATGATTGTAAAACAAATTATCATTATCAGTTATGTCTTTTAATGAATCAATTGAAACAAGTTGTATGGACTTCTTTAATAGTACTCTTTTGTCCATTTTGGAGCTGGAATGACGTGAGGGTGAGTAAACATGACATGAATGATCATTTTTAAGCGAACAGTCTATTTAAAATGTCATTTCCAGTAAGATATAATGCTTCTAAAAAACAAATAAAAAATGAGCTGAATGAATCTGTCAAAATGATTCACTGATTCATTAACAAAACCAGCTCATAGGAGTCAATTGTTCACCTGTTTGTACAAACAAATGATTCTTATGGGCTGGTTCAACAAGAGGCACTGATATTCCAGAGTCAAAAAGATTCAAGAAACAAGGAAGTAGCTCATATCACTTCCATATTTGAATGTTTGTACAAACAAATTACTCTAATGGACAGGTTCCTTTAATGAATTGGTCAAAACGAGTTGTAAAAAAGGTGCTTTTTTCCATTTTGGAGCTTGAATGTCTGTGGTCACTGTATGCTTTTGTTGTTTTGAAAAGAGCAGCGTGAAAATACCCTCATGTCAGCTCAAACATTTATGGAGATGACAAAAAGATGACAAAATATTCTTTTAAGCGAACAATCCCTTTAAAACATAATTTCCAGGCAGATGTAATGCATAACATATAACAGTTCTGCCATTTAGTACAACACAAGCTAAGGAAATATGACAGGCATGAAATGTGTATTTGTCCGTCTGTGAAAAGCATTATTTGTGGTGCCGATCGCAGACTCCACTATAGAACATCCCTCTGGGCATTTTTCAATGCGGATCATTCCTCCAAATTTGTTTGACGCGTTGAAAACAGGGTAGAAAATGGGTGGACGGCTGATGTTGAATCAATAATCATACAAGATGTTTCTGTCTGGAGGGACGGCAGGTCTGAATGAACAACGACATTCTGACTGATGATCGTTTCATCTGCACTGGGCTAAAAGGACAATGGTGGCGAGTCTTTTTGGTTTGTTTTCTAGTTGGCTGGTTGCATAGTTAAATGTATTAGGATGTAAAATCCTAGACCAGGACTATTCCCAGAGATTCGTCCCTTTGGAATCTGCATTTTACTTTATATTGGGATACAGATATTTCAGGCCGTTTGTGTGTGTGTTCAACCAATAAGCACATTTCTTATTTCTGAATCCAATCAAGCGAAATAGGCATACATTAGGACTTAAATCAGATTCAAATGTGTTTTATTTAGCCTCTATGAGACAAGCGGAAACCTGCTCATCCACTGAGGGGATTTTGGCACAATGACACAAAATGCCCAAAAGCTTGAGAGAAATATAGAGTTCAAATGAAAAAGCTCTGCAGGGCATCTCTGCAGATTCTAAATGGGAAATATTATTCGATTGTAGCATATATTCCTCCTTGTTTTAGTCAAGCTTTTCTTACACTAAAAAATTTTTACATCTTCTTTCTGACCTTTAGATTTAAACAGCATATTTTGACTTACTACAGTTCTTTAAAAGCCCTGTTTGGACGGTATTTGTTTCTCATGTGGACATCTTTAAAAAATGTATTTACATGAAACCTCAGTGATAAAACTCATGGATTCGGATGCGAACCCAGGAACGCGCTGCTCACGTGGCCAGTTGCATGATTGTCTGCTGTAAATAAAATGTCATAGGCTTGGAACGATAAGAATAAATTCATATTTTATAATATCCTATTTATTATTTGTTTATTTAAATCTCCTGTTTAAAAATCGGAAGATAGATGCGCTATAGTTGATATAGGTATCCATAAAGCTGCTTGGTTTATATTTTTATGTATATAATTGTATATAATACATATTTTACACTTTTATTATATTCCTGTTGCTGCCATAATAATGACCCATTTCAAATGTTAATACGTGCTTTTCTTCTCTTTCTTCTTTTTGTTCTTAACAACTCACACTCAGTTATGAAATATTGTTTTTGAAACTACTTTCCAGCATTTCGGTATTAAATATGCATGGCAATTACAGCAAAGTGCAACAGTTACCGTATGATGTCGGAAGTGGTCAAAAAAGATTTAAACTGTGAATTTTGAATCGTTTTCTTCTTGTAAACTCAAAGATGTGGATTCGGATGGCAATTAAATTCCCACACCACCTTGGTGTTTGTCAAAAAACAGTAGGTAATTCGGCTGGGGATTTTTACGCAGGTGGTGGGAGAAAAATACCGACATTCTGGATTCAGACGACAATAAAATCACAGACTAACCCCCTGTAAATGTTGAAAATAGCTTACATGCCCAAGAGAAACAATTACCGTCCGAATCGGGCTTAAGACTAAATGCAGATGACTAACAAACAAATCACTCACACTCGCTTTTAATGAATCAATGAATCAAAAAGATCAAGAGAACCAGCTCACAAGAGTAATTTCATTGAATGTTTAAACAAACAAATTACTTGTACTGTATGAGCTGGTTCTTTGAAAAAAATCACTGAACCAGTTCAAAAGAGTCATTTGTTTGAATCA